TTCTAAGTGACACTTATTTTAAGAGTGAGTTTTGTCTTTTTCAGGGCAATCAGTCAGACGTGCAATGCAAACTTCTAAGTCTGCATACAGTGCTTTTACCTTTGCAGAACCACAGAAAGACATTGTCTAACACTGGGAACCTTTTCCATATGCACTTGGTGTACTCAGTAGGCATAGGAACTAAGACACAAAAAGCACAGTTTACTCAAGGTTGCTCTCTTTCATCTGTTCTGAAGTGCTGAAAGGCACTGCTTATCCACAGGTAGACTTGCTTGTGCAGGCCCATGGGTCTAGGTCTCGTGAGTCCACTTGCGCGTTAACAGGACCTGGAGATATCACTGTATCATATCTGCTTCAGGCTTTGCCTTCTCCCACAATTAACAGGACCTGGAGATATCACTGTATCATATGGTTCTGATTCAGGCTTTGCCATCTCCCACAATAAAAAAAAATCCTTGTTTTCTCTGCTTTGTCTTACCAAAGATGGAGTTACACTCCTTCCCAGATGTTGGAGACAGCTTGGCTTTCCATGGTCATATCAGGTCCCTGTACTATCGGGAGTGTCAGGAACACTCTTTTTGTAGCTCAAAGTAGTACACAAATTTCTTCTTTGTAGCATTGCCTGAAGCAGCAATATTTGTAAACCTGGAAGGGTGAGCAGACTGGCAACGTGCATGCCAGAACTTTTGAGTTAAAAGGCAATTCCAGAGGCAGAAATACTGGGTCTGCAAACTAAGAACTGATTGCATGCACCAGGTTGAAGAGCAGCAGACAGGAATACCAGAGTCAGGTTTTAAATGTCCCGTTGGTGACTTCTCCATCTTACACTTCATTGGTATAAAAGCAGAGTTTACTCTTCTGAACTTGCACAATGTAAACTTGACATTTGTTTCTAAACAGACATCCATGATCTTTATTTTACACACGTGCCAAAGGATGTAGCCATAGTTTTAAATGTCATGCTCACCATCTTGAAAGTTTGAGCGGGTTTTGCTGTTTTTTTTCCTCCTCCAGAAAGTATTTTAAGTCATCTTTGCTTGCATTAAGTCAACTGTACATTTTCATGGGGCCACACTCTGTGGCTTTGGTGCTTCCAGAAAAAATTACAATCTTACTAATTGTTGTATTGAAGAAACATAGCTAAAGGAGTGTAGTAAAGATACACTGAAATCAACAATCCTGCTTTTTCTCCAATTAAACTTAGAAAGCAGAACTTAAAGTAATTTTCAAAACAGTACATTAAGAAAATGCATCATATGTTATTTTTATGTCATTTGTTTACTGACTGACTGGAAATACTATGAAGGGTTTTGTCCAGCTAAACATTTAATACACGGAATTGATCGAGTCCACTGAAAACAAATATTCGTAATAAAACTTATGCCACTCAAACTGACATTGGTTAGTGTAGAGATAGAATTAGCAATGTAATGTACTGCAAAGCCTATGTTTGTTCAGAAACAGACTTCTTGGCACTTAAAGTGGGAAGTGCAGGAACAGACTTCCGAGACTCCATGCTTTTAGCTGAGTACGTTAAGGTCCATTTTAAAGGGACTTTAAAAGAAATACAGTGACTGTGTGCTTCCCTGGCACACTACAAGTCCTACTTCTGTATGCCAGCCTGCCTGCTCTAAGTTTGCATAAACACTGTGTACAGGAAGATACCTTGTTTTCAGTGGACTTACTATCACGATGCCAGTGCTGCCTGCTCAGCATGGATTTTGTCATTCAACAACAGAATCCCTAGGAGTAAGACTATGATTTCCATAACAGACACCATCCTACCCTTTGCAGGGGTTAGAGGTTTAGCTCTAGGAATATGGATATCCACAGTTCTATGGTAGCAGGTGATCTGTAAATGTCACTAAAGCCTAAATATTGCATACAACTTCTGATGTCTCCTTTATAAATCTAGCTTCAAACCTTTATTTACAGAAGATTGAGATCTGCCTCTTCTGAATTGAGTCAGTATTATTTCAGTTTTACAGATAATGAAATAGAAATTCAGACTCCAGAAAGATACAGAAATAGCACCTGAAGTCTTTCCAACCACTAAAAATAAGAGCTTTGTATTAAACAATAGGATTCATACTTAGAGGAATCCTATCTTAGTGGTCTCCAGAAATAAACCATGTTCCTGAGGAGCAAACGTCATGTAATCATTCACAGATGCTTTAAAATGTTTTTAGTCTTGGTGATCAGGGCTGATTGCTTCATCCAAAAGAAAAGCATGACTGAAAGTGAAATTTGGATAGTGACTGATTCTGTGCTGAAGCAATCACCAGCAGCTAGTGGAGAAATTCAGCTTATACAGTGACTTAGTAGTGCATCTGAATAATTCAATGTGCTAGACCCTATTTAGTGGTAAGAGATGTCTGTATACAATTTCAAAGGGCTCCTTAAGAAACACTGACATTCATCTAGTCCTGCACCCAGAAACCACAAAAGCCCTGCTGAATGGGTAACAAGCTGAGGTCTGCCCTTGCCCACCCTCCTCTTGCAAGGCATGAATGTACACAGGGGCATTTGAAGAAATACAATTTCATGGATAAGAGAAATGCTGCAACAAAAGACCGGCCTGTGAAATCTAAATAATTAACAATAATACTGAATTAAACAGAAGTTGAAAGAGAGGTTCCTCCCTCCTGCTTGTATCGTCTTTCCCACTGCTGACCAATTCTGCTTCTAGAGCTGCCTTGCTGGGCAGCTAACCTCCTCTACTCACCACTTGGTGTTGCACAATTCATCCTGCAGCTCTCATCTCTTAGCCCAAAGGGACACACAGGATCTGGAATGCTGATGCCTACCCCAGTGAAGGTGACTACAGAGCTGCTTCTGGGCTGGGAAGCTCTCCCACTTCTGTAGGCTGCTACTCTTTGTGGTCTCAGCTGACTGTTAACCGGAGATGGCTCACTGGTTCATTCCACAGGTCCACTTTTTAGCTAGCAGCTACTTTCTCTTGCTAACCAACATAACTGCTCAGTGTCTGTCTGTAAGATTACTTTCCCTACTTTCCTCAGCAGAATCAGCACATAACAAAACCCTCATTAATTCTCTGGTACAAAAACCAACCAACCCAGCTGCCGTGAATTTGTCAAAAGAGCCTTCTTCCTACTATTAGAGATTGCTATTCAGTTAACACGAATCCTTCTCTGTCGCCGTTCAAACACATACAATAGGTAGAGGCTGGACACTGTTTATTGCCTATACACCTTCAAACACAGTCACTCTATCCCCTAATTTTAAAATTCAGCATTGTATGTTTCTCTTTTTAAAAGATATTGCAACTTTTTAATACATGCAAATAAGGGCTAGTCCTCCAGGTAGACATTGTCACTCTTCTATAGTGGGCACCAGATGGCCTTCTGGCAGGTTTAAAATGAGCACTCCTCACCAGAACTACACTGGTATGAGGATGGCAGCTGACTGACAAAGCGAACAGGGCCTTGAGGCAAGGGGCTGCAGCCAGAGCAGATAGGGAAGAGGAACATGGGGGATGGGGTGGGTGGTGTTGGTGGAGAGGGAAGGGGAACGCAGCTTCCCATGGCCCTGAATGCCCTCATCCTGCCTGGACCCTTCTCAGATAACCTCCAATGCCTAGCCTTGCCTTGATCACCTTCTCCCAAGGATGCACATCCTCAGAATCAAGCCTCATCCCTTGTTCATGCTTGTGATCCTGCCTTAGGACAGCTGCCTTACTGTCTGGAGGGTAGTGGAAATATTCCAGCTTTGGAGAATGCACTGTTAAATAGATGCATGTTAAAGGGACTCTGCAATTTACACATAAAAGATGTATAGAAAGAGGGATTTGTAGGAATTTCACTCTCCGAGTCTGGTAACAAGCTTTTCTCCTTGTCTTATGGAACACTGTTAAAAATAGGTAAAAGTAATTCTGTTCTTCAGGTTTGAACCACATATTCCCATTCGAGTTGGGAGAACGGTATCTCCAATGGAGATGGTGGAGAATGGCATAGTCTATTAAACGTAATTTTGTTTTGCTCTAAGACAGAAAATACTCTCACCAAATAATTCAGTAGGTTAACTTCCCATTCTCCTCTCAGCTTCTTCAGTCCACTGCTATAAACCTATCTTCCCAGTTCCAGTATTTATACCATCAGAATCTGTGTCCTTACCTTGTCTTTACAGTCTCAACCTTAGCATGCACTCTTCTCAGTCACACACGTGGACTGTGAGAACTCCCAGGGGAATAACTATTCTTGGTTTTGAAAGCTGTAAGACAGAATTATTTCAGCTGAAAAGTAAATGGATTCACATAGTCCCAGAAATGGATCCCCATATGCAAATCCAGGAGTTTTTATTTTCAACTATAGCTGGTTTATTCCGTTTTCCCATTATATAGTAAATGAACACAAACATTTCCCCAACATTGCCAACAAGGCTGGATGCCCAGGCACAGGAATGGAGCAAAAGAAAAACTGGGCTTGAAAACTCAACCATGCCAAAAAAAAGATCTTTCCAGAAACCAATGTCTGGTCATCCTTGCGTCTCTTCTGGCATTACATATCCTGGGTGGCAGCATGACAGATAATGTTCTCTTTATTCAGCTTCCATTTATATCTCGTCTTCCTTTGCAGTGCAGTTGGTCCATTTGGTTTCACTAGTATTTAGCTGTGGTCTGCAAGCGGTTTGAGCTCTGCTATCTGGTCCCACTCCTTCGACATTCTGTTTGCTCCAACCTACACATACTTCCTTTTTCATGTGAACCATGGACTTAATTTAGAAAACAGACTCGCATTACTTCAGCCTGCATTGTGTCTGAGCCTCCAGGGGCCTTGGAGAGTGACCCTGTGCTGCTAAGAAAGCTCTTATGAGTGCAGTCAGGGTTCCTGTGTTACTTGTCCTTGCATAGCACATCCATGCATGCACTTTTACACACATATGCATGCACCTCTGTCCTATTTTGCTCTAGTAAACAGTTCTCCACTCTGCAGCATTCAGAGAGTAGGTGCAGAGAGCAGCTTTTCCGCCTTCAGAATTTGTTACACAGAGGAGTTGTGGGCAAACAAAAGATCCAGCGACATATTTTTTTGCTCTTCTTCGGAGTGAACGAGCCGGTAGCCCAGCAAGTCCATCGCATCCTTGCACACATTTTGCACTTTTTCTATTTTCTGGAAAGGAAGAATCTTCCTCCAGGCTTGGGATACTCTCAGCGCATCTCTGGACCCAATGTCAAAGGCCTGCGCTCCTTGCCCCTTCCCATGGGTGATGTTGTGCACCCACCTCTGAAGTTCTGGTGTGAAATGGAGTTCTGCAAACCTGTACATCTGAGCAGCCCTTGCTAGCGGGTCTCTGACAATGTCTTCATAGCGAACCAGCAGGTAGCGGTCTTTCAGGAAGCTGGCAATGGCCTGACTGCCTGCCTTGTAAATCTCAACGTGGCTTTTGCAGATTACTTGCATTGTGTTGTAGGGCGCCATTTCTCCCTTCATCCTCTGGGACCCCACGACAATGTTACTGTCACGTTTCAGGTCTGCCATTGTATTTTCTCGGGATCTGAACACAGCCCTAGGATCACGTACCAAGTGAATGATTTTGAGGTTCAGGGATGGATCAGTGAGAAGGGGGTAGAGAACTTTCAGGTCAAAGAACCGAACCTCCTTGATGGCAACGTGGCTGTAGGTTTTACAAGCTTCCTCCACCTTGCTGAACGGGTACTTGCCACAGATTGTTCTGCAATTGCCTGCAGTGATTATGTCACTGCGACTGAATGAGTCACAGGCCGGGGGGGAGCACAAGGCTCGGCTTGTCTCCCACTGAAATAAATCAGACTTTTTCTTCTGGCTAGACATGTAAGCATCAAATACAGACATGTCACACAGAAAGACTGACCTGACTAGGTCCCGCACTGCCATGTGTAAGACTTCGGCAGTGTTCTGGTACATCTTAACCCACACGTGCCATGCAGGCTCCATCAGGTAGAAAACGCTGGGGTGCTGGCTGAAGATTTGTCCAGTGAAGGAAGATCCTGACCGCCAGGAGGACAGAATGAGGATGTGGACTGGAGAAAGTTTTTCTTCCATGGGGGCATTGTTGCTGCAGGGTAGGAAGTGGAAGTGGATCAGAAGGAAGGACAGAACTGCCAGAATCAGGAACACCTGCACCCTTCTAAACTTCATGGTTGCAAGGGACCTGCAGAGACAGAGGAAGATCAGTATCACAGGATCATGAAGAAGGCAGAATGTGGTGAATCAGGCTCCCGCCAATCCCTCTGCAGGCTCAGGGTTTTGGAAAGCTGACACACTACCAGTGATACTATGACAACCACAGCACAAGGTATCTTTGGAGAGGACATAAATACTGCAGGGCTGAAAGTTTTCTGTAACAAAACTACTGTTTGTCGATAAGCCATTCTAATGCATTCTTAGAAGATCACCAAAAGGCTTGTCTGCACTTTTATCAAAGTTTAAGAGTTAGTTCAGTGTACTGAAATTAGTCAGTACACACAAATGTGTACTTAGTGTACGTAATCCCTGCAGACATGATCCCGGCAATTTTTATGGAGGAAAGATGGAACAAACAGGTTCAACAGTTCCACGCTGTTACTTTTAAGCTCCTGTTCTGACCACTGTTTACAATTATTTTTATGCCAGGATGCTGTGAAAATACAATGTAGGTTTCCATTTCTTTTGCTTATATTAATTTTGAAATTTCAGAAAACATTTATTGTCATCACAGGCAAAAACTCACATACCAAAGGAAGTCATTTGGCACTGCAATAAATCCAAGCACAACAGTATCTCCTCCACAATCAGAGCATCAGAGGCAATTTTGCTAGCAAGGCCCACAAGGGTTTAGCGCATCCATCTTTGTGTAGGCAGGCTTACCTACAGCTAACCCTTTTCTTAGCCTAACTCCTTCTTAAAGACTGTCTCCTGCTACCCCTCCCTCTAACCCCACTCACCCTTTAGATCTTTTATGAGAAGAGTACAATACAATGTGTTTAGTCCAACTCAAAGGTCTGACCAAAGCTAGCTCTTTTTTTCTTGCAGTCAACCTCTATTCTGCCCGTTGGGGATGACTTCATTATTGGAAAATGTCCATTGTGCTGCCTGGGAACAATTCATAGCCCGAGTACCGGCTGGCACAGGAATCTGCAGGAAGTACACCATCACGGATAGGATCTGAGGCAGAAAGAATCACTTAATTTAAGAAAAAAAAAAAAGTACATTAAAGCATGCTCTGCCAACTGCTCCTCTCGTGCGCTTTCCTACCCTCCCCCAGCCATGCCTGATTCTGCCTTGAATATAGGTGGGTGCATGCAGCACTGTCTGCCCCTGGGGACAGGCTCAGCACACAAGCCCACACAGTATGGTGTGCTCCCCTGTTACCATCCATGTGCCAGGCTGGCAGTCTAGCTGTGCTGAAGTGGAGACAGGTCTCTTTGGCCAGTGCAACTGCTTTACATTTCCCAAGGTGAACTAAAATTAAAAAAAACCTTACTGGTTTTTAGTCATGGGCAGTCCTTCCAGGTGCTTCCACAGCCAGACAGGATAAAGAGAGCAGGGCCTTCAGGGCTGCAGGGCAAGCTGGAAGTCCTCCTGGACAGAGCAGCACTGGAGCCCAGGTCCTTACAGCTTTGTACACTGCTTTTGTGCAGCCCACAATTGCATTGAATTCAGGGGCAGCCATGCCCATCCAGAGCAGCTGCCTCCCTACTAAAGCAGCAGAGGTATAAAGCGTGCCCCAACTGGCCAGAGTACAGACACTGCTTCCCCGCTATGTGCTTACCATGTTATCTTCTGGGTTCATGGTAACGCACGAATGTTCCCGGTCAACATTTCCCTAACCTCCTCCTTATGCCCTGCCTCAATTTCCCTCTGCAGCGACGCTTTCAGACCAATTTGCATGGAGGTGCCTCCTCCCATGATTTCAATTCCTTCAGCACTGATTTTAGATTTCTAGGTACAGTCACTGCTGCTAACCAGCTAGGAACAGTATTCATTTTTCCCTCCAGCACATATGCATAAATTGGCTTGCTTATCTAATATACCTGCTGTGCATTCATTTTGAGCTTAGGGTTTATAAGGCAGCAGTTACAATTTGTCAAATCCAGGACAATACCCAGCCCAACAGGTAAGCCTAGTTGTTGCCAGTAAGTACTACCACAATATGAATTTTATTTTAGTAACGTCTTCCAAGGATGGGGCCATGCATTTAGTGAGGGACCACATGCTTCTGGTCTCCTGGACAAGAAGCCTACTGTTTTTTTTGGTTATACAAATGGACTGTAGTGTTCAGGTCTGACAAGAAGCTGATTCAGGTTGACATTTGGACCAAGCCTAGGAAGAGCTGCAAACAAAGACTGTTGTAAAAATAAGTTATATATCAGCTTCCTCCTTGCAAATGAATACAGCAGTGTTTACAAAAAGTCCTGGCTTCCAAATTAACTTTGATGATATCACTTCCATCTGGCACCATTAATATCAGTATTCTAACTCCCAACAGAGTTCCTGGACTATAGCCAGAAGCTCTTAATTGAGAAAAAGTCTGTTGAGCCAACATGAACACAGGCATTAAGATACCTGGGCAGAAACCACAGAAATCATTATTTCTCTTGAAACCTGTGTGTGAATAGTCTGAGTCAAAGAGAATGGATTCAGGTTTTTTGGGAAGCAAGGGCATGCTTTTGTCTTGAATCAAACCAGGGTGGAACAGCTGGATGTTTTAGACATTTCAGAGTATGCAGACCATCCCTGCATGGGTTGTGCTGCTCTTGGTGTTTGCCTGAGAAGTGGCCTCATGTGAGGCCACAGCCTCAACAGCTTCTTCACTCTTATACAAGAAGTAGTGATGATTGTTGCCCTGTCCCACAGGGAGGGGAGAAGGACGGAAATGAGTTGTGTGTGCCTGGTGAAGTGGAATAGAGGAGCAGCAAAGTGCGGTAGAGGTTCTATCAGACATTTCCTAATCTGAAAGAAATACTAATTACATAACCTTATTTTTCATCTCTGTATCTCTCAATCAAAGCAGCTGTTTCTAAACTATGGTCTTAAGC